TTAAAATTGTAGTTAACTTATTTTCTAGTTAATAAACAAATCCTCCTGTGCACTAACTCTTAATGTTTGTTTGGATAAAAATTAATAAAAAAAAAGGGGAGAGAAAAGAAAAGAAGGAGAAGTGAAAAGAAAAAAAAATGATTGACATTAATTTTGTTTGAATAAATAAAAGTAGAGAAAATAAAAAGATAATATTTTTATTTAATTAAATAATTTTAAAAAAAAATAAGATAGAATAAAATTTTGAAAATTCATTAATTAAAAAATTATTAAAAAATAATATTTTTATATAGTTATTTTTTAAAAAAATAAAAAAAATTAAATGTATATGGAGAGATTCCATCTCCTTCTATCTCATTCCTCCCCTATTAAAATTAATAACCCAAACACAAGAAAGAGCTATCCTCCCTCTTTTTCCTTCCCTTCACCTCCAATTTCTCCGATCCAAACTAAGGCTTAGGGTTAGGGTTTGGCGACGAACAGGTACCTCCCTAGGATTTTCTCTTCGATTGGGGAGCTTTCCCCCTTTTTTTCTTTCTGTATCGCCTGCACGCATCCAATCCCTTGAAGCATCACCGACTTGCTTTGTTGCCCTTAACCTTAGGTGATAGCAGGCAGCAGGAACTAAATTCTTGTGAGTTAAAGTGACAAAGTTGAAAAGCAAAAACAAGGGGATCGGCAGCAACCCATCCATGATGGCGAATGATGACGTGGGCACCATGCTAAGTCGGATTCGATTAACTGAAGACGAGGTTGGCATCCACCCGCTGCACGAGGTGTGGAAACATGAAGATGCTAAAGTAGACAATTTGAGGTTGGTAGGGAAGACCCTGTCTCATCGAAAAATTAATTTGAATGGCTCTATAATGCTCTAATGGTCTTTTGGAATCCAGAAAAGGTCTTTAAAATTTTTGAGACATGTGAAAAGATTTACATGTTTCACTTCTCAAATATTGGAGATCTCAATAAAGTTTTCTACAAAATTCTGTGGAATTTTAATAACTCCCTAATTATCCTAAAAGGGTTCCAAGCTTCTCTAACTGTGGAACAATATGACTTCTCCACGAATCCATTTTAGGTTAGAATTTTTGATATTCCTATTGGTCTACACTCTAAACGAATTGGATGTATGACAGGCGACTCTTTGGGGAAGGTTCAAGGCTTGGATGAAGGTTATAGTAAAGCTATCAGGGTCAAAATTGATCTTGAGGTGGAAAAGCCCCTTGAACAGTTCAAATCTTCTCAAATTACTGCAACGGAAAGCAAAAAAGTTTAGACTCAAATATGAGGAGCTCTTAGAATTTTGTTTTGTTTGTGGATATATGGGACATTTTGAAAATGACTGTGAAATTGCACCTCATATAAAAGATGAGGATTTTTAATTCTTGGTTAAAAGTAAAGTTGGAAAATTCATGGTGACTTGATGATTTTGATGAGGGAAATGGTACATATGTTCTATAAAGTTACACATTCTGCTACATAGAGAAGATTTCTGTTATTTATACCACTAAACTTGACAGTTTCTGTTACCTGTGCTGTTTTTCATGAATTGGATGAATCCTTTTCAGCTACTATTTGTCCTTTAGTCACTGAAAAGGATAACGATGTGGAAGTGAACTCGAGGCATGACCGTTTCCAATAATGAGAATGTGCTGAGCAAAGTAGATAATGTTGTTTTTAACAATTCTTGTGGCATGCATATAAACTGTAGTAGTCGAATAGATGGAGGAAGCATAGTAGACAACGTGATTCAAGTGGAGTCTCACAAAGAAAAGTGAACAACACTTGCCATTGAATGCTTCAACGCCCATAGCTGTTGATCATTTAGTCGAAGTTCCTTTATCTCAAGAATTTAGTGGTATTGGAAGTTTGAGGAAGAAGGGCAAGGGTGTAAGTAAAGGGTAATGAAAACGATTAGGGCGTGGATTAGATACTTTGTCAAGCAAGAAAAAGAATGTTGGAGGCAAAAAGAAAAACAGCTCAAAAGCTATGGAGGACATGAGAGCTTCTAAGGTGTTTTGTAGATAATACAAGGGTAGTTGTGGTTCAGTTCGGTGAGGGCCATGACCCTCCTACAAGTTGATAGCTGTAATATGATGGGACTGGCATTTAGTGAGAAGGGAACTGTTAATGCTGAATTATCCTTGCTCTCCCCTTGAAGCTGACCTAATAGGTGAAAATGTTCAATAACTTATGATGCTCGTAGCAACTTTTTTTTTTACAATAATAATTTTATTTAAGTCCATACAATGATTGCGCTTATAACTCCTAGTCTCAAATGGTTCTTTTTTTTTTAATTGTCTATACTCACCATTGTTGTAGTTGAAATCCATTATTAGTGCTATAGGTAGTGCTTCTGTCTTTAGGCTATAGTGCCTTGATATATATGGAGATTTATTGTAATCTTTTTAATTTTAATTTTTATAAAATCTTTATATTTCATACAAAAATCTCATTGTTTTTATTTTTATTTTAAATTAGAACCCTTTGAAACTCCTAAACTATAATTCCCACCCATTTTATTATTTGACAAGATTATTCAATCATCTAATAAACATGGTTATCTACTATAAATCAAATGATCTTCATTGAGATATTTTTCCTTTTAGTTTGAAGGGTCAAAGCTGGATCAACTTCTGCCTTTATAATTAATGATTCCTTAGTTGGGTTCAATGAAGAAAAATCATTCCTTAGTCGATCTTAAAAACTTACCTTTATATCAGTTAAAGCCATTTAAATAATTTAAATTTTTTTGAGTGCTCTATGGTTATCCAAGATTTAGAAATCCTATTAATTTAGTAGATATAATGAAGAGATGCGATTCAAATCAAATAACTAAGAAGCTAGATGTATATACCCCAAATACAATTCAAGAAAATATTTCACATTGAATGTTATATTTGCCCTAATAACAATCAAATCATTTTCTTGCAGGGATGCATTCATTTCCTGGAAAGCATCCAAGGTTAGTTTCCTTCAATTAGAAAAAAGATAAAAGGAATAAAACTTTTCTATGAGCTCTCATAGTCATAGCTAATAGTTGCAAAATGTAAAGTGGCAGCAAAAACTATCCTTTATAAATATCAGCAAGCTTGTACCAATGATTTATTAGTCAAAATAGAAAGAGTTTAGTTCTCTTAAACAAACTATGGGTTTAAGTCTAGTGAATGGAATAATAAACTCTTATAGGGTTCGACTTACCTTAACTCCAAATTAATTAGAGCTAACGACTTCCAAATACCATGTGGTTAGTACCAAAAATGAAAAAAAAAAAAAAAAATTCAGCAAGCTCGTTTCTCTACACATTCTTAGAAGAAAACTACTCCTCAAAGCGAAATTGACTACTCCATATGATTTCTCCTTTTTGGAGGCCTAAAAATCTCACTGTTTTTCAATTAGAGCTCTTTGAAACTGCTAAAATTCAAATGTTCAAAATTCTTATTCAGGTTAGATAATGATATTTCACCCATTATTTCAAAAGAAAAAAAAAAAGAAAGAAAAGAAAAGAAAAGAAAAGAAATTTTACTCTTCTATATAATCTCCACCCATTTTATTATTTGACAAGATTATTCCATCATCTCATGATAAACATGGTTATCTAGCTACTATAAATCAAATGATTTAAGTGAGATGTTTCCTTCTGGTTTGAAGGGTCACTGTCTCTGTAGATCAACTTCCACCCACATTGACACTAATAATTCCTTTAGTTAGATTCATCGAAGAAAAATCATTCTTTACTTGATTTTGAGAACATACCTTATATCAGTTAAAGCCATTCAAAGAATCTAAATTTTTTTTAGTGCTCTGGGTTTGCCTAAGAATTACAAATCCATATTAATTTAAAAGATATGATGAAGAGATGGAATTCAAATCAAATAATTAAGAAGTTAGATTACCACAAATACAATTCAAGAAAAAATTTCACATTGAATGTTTTATTTACCCTAATATAAGCCAAATCCTTTTCTTGCAGGTGAAAAAACCATCCCCTGGGATGCAGTGACTTTCTGGAAGGCATCCAGTGCTAGTGTCCTTCAATTAGAAAAAAGATGAATGGAATAAACTTTTCTATGAGTTGTCGTGGCTGTAGCTCAAAAGGTTGCAGAATGGCACCAAAAAATGCCCTTTATAAGTATCAGCGAGCTTGTTTCTTTTACATATTCTTAGAAGAAACAATTCAAACACCAAAGCTTCCTTCTTTGCCAAAGTGTGAACCGTAACCCTCTCAGCTCTGTATTTTCTGTTTGTTTCCTCTGAAACTGTAGGCAACTCAAGTATATGAAAATCATTCATTCTCAGCATTTTCTTTATTGTTTTGCCCATTCTTTCTGTACCAAATCTCAAATGAATCCTTTTTCTTGGAGGATGAGGGGAGTGGGATCGATGTTCCATGTTTGTGTGGATTTTATTTGACATATGAGATCTTGCTTGTGTTATATGAATTATGAAGCCATCTTTTTTTGTCTCACATGTATTCATACGGAGGGTTTTGAAGCTAGGTGCATTAAGAATCTATGATTTAGGGAAGCAGCTGCATGTTCAAACCTTTTCTTCTACTTTGGATTGATAGTTATTACAATGCTAATATACTTGCACAATTGAATACAGAATGGGTCAAGCACTCGGTTGCGTTCAAGTCCAAGAATCAAATGTGGCCATTGTGGAAAAGTGCGGGAAGTTTAAGGATGTGCTTGAGCCTGGATATCACTGTGTGCCATGGTGCTTGGGGTACAACCTAGTTGGTAAAATACCACTTGGCCTGCAACTACTCGAAGTTCGATGTGAAACTAAGACTGAGGTTTTCAGTTTCTGTACCTTTTCCTTTACTACCCTTATACTATCATAACTTTGGTCATAGTAGAAACTAAAATTTTCAATAATTACTCTTCTTCTTTTTTTTGAGTTGAAAAAGTTTGATTCATGCCATCTTTTTCAGGATAATGTGTTTGTCACTGTGTTTGCATCTGTTCAATACCGATCCAGTGTCTTGAAAGAGAAAGAGAGAGAGGAAGATAAAAAGAAAGCAAAGAAAGCTTTCTATGATCTTCCGCTCACCAGCGCCAAGGCGCAAATCCGAGCCTGTGTTTTGGATGGTATGTTTGGTTTCACATTTAAAAATACAACATTGTAGGTGATGTAGGTATTTATTTAATCACTGCCTTCAAGTTCAAACTTGGGTATAGTTCAATATCATCACTTCATTGAATTGTCCTAATTCCTAGTTCTTTGCATCTCTTCAGTAATCAGGGACAGAGTGACAAAAAAAGACCTGAAAACTGCGTTTAATGAGATGGAGGAAATTGCAGGAGATGTAACAAAGAAGCTCAACCAGGTAATATGTTATTTAAACCAGTAGTGCTGCACAGAAAACTCTGGGAATTAATGGTCTTCTTCAACTTCCTTAAAATTCAACCCTTTTGCAGCCGCCCATATCTGACAACGGGTATGAAATTGTTCAGACACTTATCCTTGATATAGATCCTGATGTTAAAGTGAAGGCAGCAATGAATGACAAGTTTGCAGGTAACAGGCATAACTCACCTGTCTGAACTTTTATACTCTTCGACATGTGTGTTGTTGCATGTCCATTTTCATTATATCAGTCCATTGATATAGCTGAATTTTAGTAATTATATATACCCCTCGTTTCAAGTATTGATTGATTTTCTCCTTTTTGTCTCGACTGTTTACAGCTGATATAAAGAACAAGGAAACAATTGAGAGGGCTGACGCTGAGAAAACATTGCAGATCAAACGAGCTGAAGGAGAAGCTGAGTCTAAGAAAAAGTCAGGGCTCGGCATTGCTAAGCAGCGCAAGGCAATTATTGATGGACTGAACGAAAGTGTGCATGCCTTCACCGAACGTGTTAGCGGAACAACAGGCAAGGATGTGATGGATATGGAGCTTGCGACTCAATATTTTGACACCATGAAGGAGATGGGTACTTCCTCAAAGGCTTCACATGTCTTCATCATGCATGGTCCTGACGCCGTGAAGGACATAGCAACAGAGCTTCGTGACAGCATTATTGAAGGAGACACTTGTAAAAAGTAGGGGAAGGAAGGCTCTGGATTCACCGAGTTGAGAAATGGTTGGCAGCAGTAGGATTTTATTTTCTGTTCTTCGGAATAATTCGAGACAGTTTATGACATTAATTGCTCGCTTAGGATTGAAATATCATAATAAAATGCAGAGAAATGGGGCTTTAATTAGCAGTTGTTGCTAGAAGATAACTAAGCATGTTTTCGAAATTGTTACGCGTGATTTTTTTAAAATTTTATTATGAAAAAATTATATTATTATTTGATAATTATTTTGAAAAGAATTTTATGTATTAATATAATCACTAAACTATATATAATATTAATTAAAATTAATTTAATTATAATAAATTAATATTTTTAGGGAATACAATATGAAAAAAAAAATTATGAGAAAACAACCCAAATGCTACCTAAATCAAGGGAAATATTATTATTCTATGCAGTTTCCTCTGTCCTTTTAAAAAATCAATTGGCCTATTTTACTGGTGAGTTGTGATTTTTTAATCAGTCCTACAACAAACTATTTTTAACCAATTGACCTAATAGGACGGATGAAAAAAACAAAAGGGAGCCAGTTAAAAGCAGTCCGACCTGCCGGATTCGAACCAGCGACCTAAGGATGCCTGACAGGTTTTGAACCCACTACAGTCCTCCGCTCTACCAACCGACCTAAGGTCGGATCAGTTTAAAGGCAGTCCTGAACCAAAATACTGAGGGTAATGACCAATTCAATGTCAACCATTAAAACTATTTGATGTGATGGAATGATTAGGTTCAAATCAAATGCAAAATAAAAAGTTTTTTTCACTGATTGGGGGAGGTGGCATTTGATTTGAAGGCAGGAAGCATGCACATTTATATATAATAATTAAAATTTTGATTTCCCAATTGCAATAACTCACTCGAATTTGAATCAAATTATTTTCTTGCGTGTAAAGAGGACCTAGGATCAGCCACTTTCCTTTAATTGGATCAACCAGGAATTAGTAGATGAAGGAGATTGGTGCATCATTAAACTCTTCATCTGTTCTCATCACACCTGGTCCTGGTACCAACCGGGACATATCTATCAGCACTAAATGTTTGTCAACAACTGCGGGAAACAGTTGCTCTGGATTCACTTGAGCATTGTTTGGCACCACATGAGGTTTCCCGGAAGGCAATTTGGTTGGGTGCTGCAAAAGTGATAAACATAACAGATCCACCATTACCTTTTAGAGACAAAACTAATTAATACCATCGGTTGCCATTAAAATATAGGTGATGCTGTCCAAATGACTGCGATTCGCCAGCACCATGTTACAGCTTGATCAGAACTGTAATTTGTAACGTTATACATGAACTCTTTGTTTTCAATGTTTCACAAAACTGCTTAGTCAGGCTAATAATCTCATTCCTGTAGAACATAGAGAACACAGAAAAACTTTTGTTGGTCCGTAGGTGGATTGGATAAAAGAAAGGAAAATTTGTTACGTTCCAGTTCATAATCCACAAATGAATAGATAAAATGTCTTTATAATGCATTGCTTCTTATTCTTGCTTGCAAACATCATTGAAAACAACGCATAATCAATCCAACTCTGTTGACTTTCATTGCCCCATAGCCACCCTTAATTAAGAACTCAATGCAAGGAACTGTCTGCTGACCATTCTTTGGTTTGAATTTGAATCTTAATATAAAATTTTAGTGCACATCTATCCTGTGGGCTGTGGGGACAGTCCAACTGGTTTTTTTATATATATCATCTTCTTGCAACCCTTTCTCTTACCATTTTGCATTTCTGCTCCCAACCCGTCAACTTCTCCTTAGTGGTATGTCATTTCTTTCTCCATTCAAACTTCCGCAGATTGTTTGCAGCATGTTATCTGTTTGATATTTGTGAAACCCAGCATAAATTTTTTGCTCTATTGGTGTTTTCTTATTCATTTACCACCTCTTTCTGATAGTCACTAAAAAGGTCTCTTTTCTTTCTTTCTACTTTCCTTCTACTTCTTGCTTTTGTTTAAATGAATGATGCAGGTAGAGAACAGAGAGAGATAAGGGAAGATAAACAGGTAAGAGTAGATGGGCAATCTATTTGGCTGTGTAAAAGTTGAACAATCAACCGTCGCTATCAAGGAGAATTTTGGCAAATATGATCGAGTACTTGAGCCAGGATGCCACTTTCTACCTTGGTGCCTAGGAAGTCAGCTTGCTGGCCATATCACACTCAGGTTACAGCAGCTGGACGTGCGTTGTGAGACCAAGACAAAGGTTTGTTTCTTGTTAAGCAAGTTTTCAATTCTTTTGAAAGGTCATAAGAAAGTAATTCATGTGAGTTGTCTATTCTTGGCATGGATAGTTTGTCCTAAGTTGAACCTTGGAGATGAGCTTAGTTTGGTTAAAGAAAATTAAAACACTATAGTTCATTAATTATTGTTCCTGCAGGACAACGTTTTTGTCAATGTTGTTGCCTCTATACAGTACCGTGCTCTGGCTAACAAAGCGAGTGACGCTTTCTACAAACTTAGCAACCCCAGAACACAAATTCAGGCCTATGTTTTTGACGGTATGATAGAAAACACACACGATGCTAGTGTACTTACTGATCTTGTTTTCAACCAGTAACCAAGAAAACTGAACTTCAATTTATGTGATTTTTCAGTAATCAGGGCAAGCGTACCAAAGCTGAATCTGGATGATGCTTTTGAGCAAAAGAATGAGATTGCAAGGGCTGTTGAAGAGGAACTTGAAAAGGTAAGCACTTGCATGTACATATCAAAATTTTCTTGATGCTATGTATCAAATTGAATGACATGTTATTTGTTTTGTTGCGTTTAATAGGCCATGTCTGCTTATGGTTATGAGATAGAGCAGACACTTATTGTTGATATAGAACCAGATGAACATGTGAAACGCGCCATGAATGAAATTAATGCTGGTGAGATATCTGTATTCCAAGATCTTCATCCTTAACAGGTGTATCACTTGTTTTGAATTTGTTCCCCTAAGGTCCAACTTATTTTAATTTCAGCTGCAAGACTGCGGGTAGCTGCTAATGAGAAAGCAGAAGCCGAGAAGATTATACAGATCAAGCGAGCAGAAGGAGAGGCAGAAGCCAAATATCTGTCAGGTGTTGGTGTGGCTAGGCAGCGCCAGGCAATTGTTGATGGTCTAAGAGACAGTGTGCTTGGCTTCTCTGTCAATGTACCAGGCACTACTCCTAAGGATGTTTTGGACATGGTCCTCATAACTCAGTATTTTGATACCATGAAGGAAATCGGTGCTTCCTCTAAATCTTCAGCAGTGTTTGTCCCTCACGGCCCTGGCGCTGTTCGCGACATAGCAACACAAATCCGAGATGGGCTGCTCCAAGGATCCTCTATTGAGGGAGTTTAGACCTTGAGCTATATTTAAGCTGGTTTTATTTATAAGTTTGTATCTGGATGGACTATGGACAGAGGTGGTTGTCAATTTATACTGCTAATGTCTATGGTGTGTGTTTGATGACAATTTATACCGTTCCTACTTCATCTTTTAAATAAGTTTACATGTAAAAGTCTCGCTCATGTGTGGAAATAAAAGTTGGATCCCTCAAATTCAGGGACAAACAAACAAAATATAATGGCTAAAACCATTTTCAAAGTACAAGCTCACAACATAAATTGTATATCAAAAATTGTGCCACAATATCATGTTACATGTACTCGTCAAATTAAAAGTACTAAAAGCTACACTTAGAGGGTTCCAGAACTGGTTTATTCCATTCACCACACTAATATCCTACAACAAATATGAAATTGACCATGTCCAACTAGGATATTTGAGACACTTTCTATTGTCCACCCAAAAAAAGAAAATTATTAAATACATTTCGAAAACATGATGCCGACATCATTTCTATCAAGAGAAGATACCAGCACAAAACCAAATAAAAAAATATCTTTTAAATTACAAATACTTGAAACTTATTAGTTGAATTTTTCTTGAGTCAGATAGAGTGAAAGAATGTATAACATAATTTAATCTCATAAAATACCAAAGATATACGGCAAAGAATTATGTGCATGCTTAATGCATTTTTGCTTGGTTATATGGTGTGAAACCATCAACCATCTATTGATTACTAAATGGACCCTTTGGTTATCTGTATTTGCTGACTTTCATTTGGAGTTTTAGAAATGCATTGGCAGAAACCAGACTGAAAATTCTTCCTCACAACTTAGACTTTTTTTTAAAAAAAAATAATCAATAGATATATATGACTTGAAATATAGAAGACCACGACTTTAGATAAATAAAATTTCCCTGAGAGAGATCTACACTAACTGCCAATATATAAACTACAAAGCACTTCAAAGTGTGATGTGTGAACATGATATGGACACAGTTTAAAATTCTTATTTTTGGGAAAGTGAGTACATTTCCAAACAAACATTTTCTACTTCTGCACAAAATTTGATTGTAGAACATTTGCTCTCTTAAAATGAAGAAAGTATAAATTCAGGATCATAAACTAGGAACAAAAATCTGAAAAAATTCAACAATCTTCAAAAGTATTAATTCTCAGTAAGACATGAGCTGGTCCAAAAAGTAATGACATGGGTTAAAGCTTATACTACCATGCCACCTTCAATTTTGTTTTTTTATTTTGTAACTCAAAAACTCAAGATGAAGAAAGCAGCCAGGGCAACATCAAAGATTAAAAAGTCAATTGGGACAGACTAACACTGCACCCCTAAGAACTACAATCCTAAGCCGAAATGAATTGAATAGCTCAAGGCTTCAGTGCCAAAGCCAGTCCAACCTTGGCACTCTTTTCAATGGCCTTGGTATCAACCTCTCCAGAAATGGTGAACAAAGATTTTGGTCGCCACTCATGCTGGAGGAGAGCACTTGCCTTGCCAGAGTTATTCACTCGTGCCTTCAGCTTGGTCAATGGATCCAATGAGTGCTGTGTTCCAAGAGTGATGGTGTTCTCATTGGTTGAGAAGCTGTGGGTGACCTCAGCACCAACTGCAGTTGAGGGGTTCACTGTATGGTAGTAGGAAGCATTTACAAAGTCACCCTTATCATTCCTGCATTAGCAAACATGTAGTGCATCATTTCACTGGGCAAGGATTCAACTAGCCCTGGCACCTATCCTCTAGAAAACAGAAAGAACTACTTACAGTGTCAATGAAGCAGTGAGATCTGCATTAGTGAAGCTCAATCCAGCATTGCACTTGGTGAAATTCCCAGTCTTGGTGTCAAATGCGACATCACAACCAAGTCCAAGAACATTAGTTCCAATAACACCAGAGAAGTTAACAACAGGATTAGCTGTCAATCCAATGCTTGTGCTGATCCCTGCATAGTCATGCAAATACTGGAGTTCGACCTGTTACATGATTACAGATAAAAAACTTAGCATCCTGCCCTGGATGATGAAACATTCCTCAGGAAAAAAATCAACATGGAAGTTCATGTGCGCAGTCTAAAAGACTGAGTAGGTTACCTTGCCAGACCTCTGATCAGGGACCTTGAAGCTAAAGATTGTTTTCAGCCCAGGGGCAGGTTCATCAACGGTAATAGTGGTAGAAAGCTGGTAAAACAAAAACACATTTAGCAAAAGGAACACAATTCAAAACGAGAGCTTATCAATGAATAACAGATAAATTATTCAATAGGGAAAAGGAAAAGAAAACAGAACTGACCCATTCACTGAAATATGTAATACACTAGAAGGTTGATTCAAATATAACTGATAAACAATCACTGATTGGGCATGCTTAAACCATTAAAAACTAAAGTATGGAAAATGGCCATAACAACAATCCATAACCATAATTTTCGTACAGAGTAATAGCACTTTAAATAGCACAGAGGATCACTACAACTCTTTCCAACAATCTTCCCCAAGTATATGAAAGTAAATAAAAATGGACAAAATACTTACATTGGAGTTAGTGTCAACTTTGAAATCAGTTGTGATATTCTTGTTCTTCAGCTGGGTGTTCACATCAGCCAGAAAGAAATCACCTTTCTTTGTCCCTGTGGATGTGATTGCCTGGACACACCAAAACAATTGTGAGGTATTCACACCTTGAACAATGAAAACACATTAGACTCCTTTATATATATTCCATCATTGACTGAAGTAAAACATGGGACATCAAAAAGTGAAATAAATATAAAACTCATGATACAAAGTCGTCGATAAAGCATTTGGCTTAAATTAATTCAAATTACAGCCAAAACACATTAAACCAATAATCAAAGAGAAAAGATTCATCATCAAATCAAAATAAACCGGGAAAGACAACAAGTAATTTCGAACCCAGAAATGCAAAACCAAGATTCTAAAGACACAAAAAAAAAAAAAAAAAGGTGGTGATGGTGAACTTGTGGTCACTGTTGTAATCCTTGTACAGAAGATCTATAACGATTGAACAAGAATTTACCCAATCAATTCACAAAAAA